CTTCCGCGCGGATCCCCATCTTCATCCCAAGGAGAGAGAGGAGGTCTCCGTTGGCGCTGTGACACACCTTGACCCTCTGCCCTCCTATCTCGAGTCTCTTGGACGTCCCCATGCGGCGGCCGTAGAATTCTTTGACAGAATCCTTCCGCTGGAACTGCCACCCGCATCCTCCGGCAAGGCGAGCATGCCTTTGCACATCTTTAAGGCTTCGCTCTGGCATGCCGTTTGGAGTCATGCTAATAGTACTCAGTTGATGACCTTGCCAAGGTGAGCTGTCTAGTCATGCATGGTGCATGATGCTGCCCGCTTTTCAGCTGATGAAGGCAGTTATGTATGCGAAACGAAGGGCTGGTTGCAAGCTGGGTGTGTTCTTAGCATAGAGGACATCACAGGTGGTAAATGTTGGGCGATATGGAGGTATACATGGCATGGGGAAACGCAATAGGTTGGAAAGTGACCAATCAGAACCTAGGAGTTCTGGTCACGTCCGTGAACTTGAATGCCCGCCAGTCACTCGCATGTAGCACGATGTCTAGGATCCGTTACGGGCAGCATCCAGTGTTAATTGATCGGAAAATCCACTCAAGAGAAAAATGGCTGTGAGGAGCCACGTTTTAATGCTGTTTACAGGTTTTCTTGGGTGTTTTCTTTGCCCAAGGAGAAGTATTTATTCTGATTTCCCGTCCTCCCAAGCAAGTGTCCTGCCGCACAATGTAATCATGTGTCTCATCTGATCTCACCTCTTTGCCAGCAGTCATCCATGATCCGAAGTATGCTTGTCGAGCGCCCTAGCCACATCCCCGTAATCACTTGGAATTATGGGAGGAAGTAGATGTGGTTGGATTTGTATATGAAGCCTGGCTCGACGTTGACTTTATGCCAAGCCACCCACTTCATCCGATCGCATCGTACCATCCGGGATGGCTGGTGTTATGTATCCGTCCGCTGACCAGTCTGTCGCTAATAACCGGGCGTAAGCGGTTGAATCTGGCGCAGAGTGGCCGTTTAAGCATTGGTATGTCAGGCAAGACCACCTGTACGCCGTTAAACGTAACTTGAAGCGCGGTGTGCGACCTGCCAACGCCATCGGTGACGGCTGCAGTGAGCCACTGTGTGGTTTGGGGAGTAAAGTTTGCCAAAAACTGGCTGTGGGGGGACGCGCCAGGGTCGCTCATTGAAGGGCGGACATGCACGCGTATCAGGGGATCGACGGTGCGGCATCGCAGAATGTGAACGACACAGTACGGAAAACGTAAAGCCGATGTTACGCAGCTCCCACTCCGTATAATTCAGTCTCCACTGCTCCTAGCGGGTACTGGTTGTCCATTTCTTGCTCGATCGCCAAACTATCGAGTTGTCTGGTCAACTCTGGTGGAAATCGCCAGAAGACTGTGGCATCCCTGCCGAAATCACTAAGTTTAATCCTCTTGGGGCTCTGGAAATGATATCACACCTGATTACCGGGGCTTTTGGGTAGCAATAGGGATCGCACCAATTGCAGTGACCCTTACTGCAAGACCGATTGTGCGGACATTTTTCGCCTTTACGGCGGTCCACACGGCAGATGCGCTGGAATAACATGTAGGTGTTGTGACACGCCGAGGTGCAGGCCCGCTCCGCGCCGGCCACCGGCGTCCAGTCCTAACCCTGGTCCTCTTGACTCCGTCTAGACATTGGGTTCAGGTGGGTGAGGGAGGAGGGAGTGCGTGGATGCAGCGCAAGTATGTCATTCCGATTCACGCGCCAATCACTGTCCATGCCAACGCCATACTGTGGACCACACGGTTGACATCGTCGGTAACGACGGTCGTACTGTCGATGTGTGGCTCAATCTGATCTGTTATGAGCTATAGGGCTCTGTTAATGTAGGGCACCAGAGGATCATGTTTGCCGAGTTGGCCGGTTTAGTGATCAGCACTGTGTGAACTTCAGTATTATTCCCAATAAGGCAGGGCATTGTCTGCCATTAACTTCTGTCACGCATCATTCGGGATTGATGTCGCCGCCCAGAGAGAATCTGTCGGCCGTATTTTGGCAACCTTGGAAAGGGCCGTTGCAGTAAATCTGATCAATAGTTTGAGCGATCCACTTCTGTCCCGCAAGGGACGCCTAAATTCGTTTGCAATGAAGCAGACATGTAGAGCACCTAATTCGCATCACGCCTCCAGAACTCACTACGTTTCATAAGCTAGCCAAAAACGAAATCATCAGAGATAGGCTCGAACACAGTGGCTGGCGATTCCGAAGCCACGTCTATGAGTGGCACGTATATGTCGACCCGACCTCTCCAAGAAAGTGTCCCGTGTATACCAGTTTGGGGAGGTGCTGCGGTCTGAGGACTGTTTCCGAGGAGGATCGTGTTATCTCTTCAACGAAGGACCTTCCAAACAGTTAATTTTAACACATCTTAGTAGTTTTAACCGCGTCGGACCGGCTAGGGGGATGGGGGATAGAAGTAGGCTGAATCTCCTTGAGGGAGCGTACCTAAGCATCGGCTTTCTTATCTCTCCCCTCATTCATGCACCTGTCCGAGCCTGTCGGCCGACCGATGATGCGATTTGGCGCAGGAGCTGACATGGAGTGAATCTGTATCCCTCTTGGTCGCCTGCGAAATTTGCACGTAGTCGGCCTCCGTCCAGTTTGTCCTCTGCTACTGTGAACACTGACCTGCATGTGCTTACGAAGGACTATAGCTATGACTTATCAACTATTAATTCCTGATGTCATCCCTTTGAGGGAAGTATGCCGACTCCGTTGTGGTTGAAACTCATCGCACCCGCGAAGTCTTCCCGTGAATAGACCCTTTAAAACTAATTAGGTCACTAACTAACAATGGGTCCATTCGATTTTGAAACTGACGGCAGGTATCAGTAGCGACTAAAGTCTTATATGTGTCTCACCCACATCAAGTTCAGGGCAAAGTCTATTGAGAAACGGTGAAGGACGCCGGTGGATGTTGACTCACCTGGCCAGATCATCCGCCGGCCGTGCGCACGTGAACAAGTGAACCATTGGCTGTCGGACTTGGGCATAGGTACTCGCCCGCTGGTTAGTCGACCCGCGCGGTTATGTCCGCCCGCAATGCCGACCTTGTGTTCTGACGAGCCCTTCACGGTGTGGAAAGTCGCTCGGTTCATTGACCCGACGCCACGACCGCGGTTCCTGAAGTGACGTCGATGCCAAGTCAGCAGACCTAAACACTTTGGGTTGATTGTCAACCAGATGTGCAGGATCGACGCACCGCGGAAGCGTGGAGAATTAGTGCACTTATTCACAGAGAAGCGCTGCAGGAGTTTCACTGCGCTGGAATAGATGCCTGATGTCTGATTTTCAGGGTGCTGACCCGTTACTTTGGTCCGAATGTCAATTGCAAGAAATGCGTGAGGGATGGAGGCGCTGTGTTTGTGTGTGTCCATCGTACGGCATTGAGATGTGCAAGAGTTGTTTTTTTACTGTTGTTTGTCAACTTACGCAATGTCCCCTCCAGGCTCTTCTCTAGCTCATATCTTATTTTCGTCTACTACAGCGTCTTTTCGAACTACATATTTGACCTTCTGGACAATGAAGCACGACTCCTGATGGCCTTTTTCTTGATTGCGCCCGTCCTTGGTACTTTGAATCTCGAGTTCCAAACAAGGGTCCACCAGGTTCGTCGCACTTCTTTAAATTCGGTCCTTCTAAATTACTCGGGCCCATTTACCTCAGTAGGTAGGCTTCGAAGGGCTTTTCAAACTCCCTTCAGCGTCTTTCTTTCTCCTCTTTGTAAGGTCACGGAGATGCTTTACAAGGCTGTCACAAGGGTGGACCAGAAGCTAGCTGCAACTGGCGTACCCCTCTACCACGTGAACACCCTCGCCGACGTCTTCTACCACATCAAGTACATGTACGTAGGCAATGCTGTGCATGAGCAGGTGCGTCCACTCCTGCCGCTTTTGAGACCGCGCCTTCATGGTGCGCTCAAGTTCATCCTGCCTCCGCTGCCCTCTGGACTACCCGGACTGCCTGCCCCCACCCCACCACAAGAGCACCACAATCAGCAGCAGTCGGGGACCCCTGCCCAGCCTGTATTCGAGGGCCGCGTCTACCGGGCTGCTATCAAACCACCCTTGGGCGTAGAAGACTTCTAGCCGATCCTGTACTGCCCTCCCGCACCTCACCTGTACAAACCTCCCACCCTCCCCGCCAATTTCACGCATTTCAGGTGTCTGTGAATAAACCGCCGCCTCATTATCTCTGTCTCGTGCGCGCGCTGGACCAAGCCTTTTAAGCAGCAACATCATCAAAAAGCCAATGGGCTTTCCAGGGCTCTCATGCAACTCCTGTCTGGGGGCTATGTGGGACCCCCAGGAGAAGGCAGACACCTCTATGTAGTAACGGTCACACCAACTGCCGACATACACAATGCAGTCAGTCCAGTCTGACTTCACCTGGAACCTAGCCCAGATATGCAGCACCAGGTGACCTTGCTGGGCTCAGGGGCTACCTCGCGTCGGCCGGGAACGCCGACTGGGTGAACTCTGTGTAGTATCGTTCAGTCAATGGTGAGGTCCGCGTAATCGAGACTTTTATTCAGACTTCCCACTGCGTCCAGTCGTCTTGGCCTATCTTGTTATTGTGGCGAGGGGAGATCAGTCTCCTTCACTATTGATCAGTCAGTTCGCTGGTTAGCACGGTATTCACGAACATCCCTGTATCAAAACGAGCTGAAGTTGAGTACGGCGAAACGTTTTTTCTAGCATTCATCCATTTCGCAGACGATATCTGGTAGGTTTATGCTTTGCTCCGTCGATGGGGTTGTCTCACATCCCTTAACGAGGGTTCAGTTTTTCGGCACAGTACGGACTCCTGGCGCCAACTTCCTTCGTTGACTTGAATAATTAGATCAAAGAACCTTTGGGGTCATGCTTATACTTGCCGCCAGAGGTAACGAGCTGTTCAGAAGATGAAGATGCGATCACTGGAACAAGGAATTTACTTGCCTGACGTTTCGGATCCTCACTCGAATCCATCATCAGAGATATTCGCAGATAGAGGTGATGGTGGCACCAGGAGTGCAGTATTTATAGCGCGTGGCTGCCGTGGGACCGTATGCGCACTGCAATTAACAGTCCTCGTAATCACCGCTGGGGTCGTAATTGATGCGGTGGTGGCTTGTCGGTCCGAGTCCGAGTCGTTAATTGCCGCGATTTCGTCATCCGTGCTGGATACTGGTGTGACGATTGCTCGGCATACTGGCTCACTGTCACCGTGATGATTGCTCGCCCGCGCCCTCCCCACGTGACTGATTCTCCTGCCCAGGGAAAATCGCAGTACGGTATAGGGTACCGGGAGGTTATTGTGCTTGTTGATGGATTGCGGGCCGGAAAACCATGACTCGAGCAGCTCGCGGCTCACGCGGTTGTCACTCCTTGCGAGGATTTCGGCCTCTTGAAATTTGAAAATATGGCCGGGTCCCGTCAAGTGTGCCGCCACCTAAGAGTTAGCGTCTCCCCGCCTCACTGCTGCTGCGTACTCGGCAATTCGCGTACGGAGTAATCTCCCAGTTTCTCCGAGCTGTATCACAGACGGTCCTGCAATCTCATCTGCTGCGATTTATCACAATTTGGGATCAGATACAGCAAACTTGATGGAATCTTGCACATGTAGCATCCGTACCCGGAAACCTACATGGCTAAAATGGCTGTTTCAAAGGCTGAAACCGCAGTTGTCCAGTAGGCTGCGTAAAGGTCGACATTACATCCTATTGTGACATCTGGGTAGGCGTGCGCCACGTAAATTGCTGTCCGCCATCTGTCAAACGCCTTTTTAAGGTTAACATTAATGCATGCACAGAGTGCTCCCCCCCCCCCCAGCACCGTTTACTATTCAGTTCTGTTCAGATTGGAAAAGTTTAGAGATCCGGGAAGATTATTAGAAGAAGAAAATTGGCTCTCCGGAACAGGTTTATTTAACTGCTGACGTTTCAAAGAGCTGGGCCGGCTCTTCATTGTCAAAGCGTAAACTGCACCTAATCGATCAGAAAGTTAACTTAAAGTGGCAAGCTGTGTTGGCCGGCCTCATGCTGATC